CACAACCGAAAATGCCAGTGTGTGTTAAGCACTGTGTGCCCACCGCATGGCAGCTCCCCTGTAGGGGATGAACAGGACAGTGGGTACGAGAATGACTCAACACTGAGCATAGGCAGCACATTTAGCAAGAAATGAATGTGACACTTGACTCAGCCAAGTGGCCGCTACAGAGCAGCTGCCTGGAGCCATCTTGCAGCTGCCCTCCTGCCTAGTGTTCTGATGCCCCTGCTCCTTCCACTCTGAGTCCTGGATCATGACATGCCAGGCTGACTCCTGGCATTTCCGCCTGACCTCTAAGCTGCCCATCAGTGCCAATACAGATTTGTTTTTGCCGATTGTGCCTGTGCTTATCCTTGGTGGGGCCTGGCATAGCAGCAGCCGTGGGGCTCATGAGGGGCAGTGAAGAGGTGTCACAGGACCAGAGAGATTGGTATTCTGGGGCTGCTGTGACAGCTGCCATTCCCAGAGGGCATACTCGTGACATTGATAACATGTGCAACACAGCAGGAGTCTAGAGCCCCCCAAAGATACAAACATTGCATTTACTAGAAGGCTGTGTTGGTCGGTGTGTTAAAGTATAAAGCTCATATGCCCGATCCTCACTTTGATTCTGCAGGGAGCAATCAGCCAGGAACCTCTTATATTCAAGACCTGGTAAGGGGCAGGGGCCGACACATGGTATTTTACTCAGTAGTCACGCAATCTTTCTATAAAGAATTTTAACTAATACTATATGGAAGGTGCAAACTTAAGGCGAAGCCATGTTACTCCTAAACACCACTAGATGGTGACACCATCCCATGGTAGAGTCTTGGGTGGGCAGGCAGTGCCATTCTATTTCAGAGAAGGAAGCCTGTGCTCCTCCCCACCATTCCTTGAAGGTCAGTGCCACTAGAGGGATGCTTGAAGGTCTTGCCCCTCCCAGCCTCATTATTTACTACTTTCTGTTTCCTCATCTAGAACAGGAATAACATTGGACCATAGCACTGATGTGAAAGGAGATAGTGCTGGTCACACTCGCTGCCCTTAACACAGAACAGGAAAATATAAACAACACAAGCCAAAAAGTTGAGGGCTACGCCAGTCGTCAGTCCAGACCTGATGAACAGCCCGTAGGGGTGAGTCTGGTAGCTTCAACGGGACAGCTTCTGAAAGAAGAATTCATGGGCTTTGTATGACAAGGCAGTGAGAGGCGGAAGGCAGAGGATGCTCACATGAATCTTGTCAAGCCTTCCTAGGTGAGGCATGAGGAGCCGGGCCTGAACAGACACGTGCAATCCAGGCAGACAAGAGAGACATTAGAAAGCGTCGGCAGATTTGTGGGAGCCCAGAGCAAGGCCTCAGAAATAAGGGCTTAGGCTGCAGGTATACGCTGGGGGGAATCGCAAAGGTTGGAGGGCACCCCTTCCCCAGATGTACCCTTTCGCACTCACTTGCCAGGCCAGGTTCTCTTCAACCCGTCCCAGCCATCCATCCCAGTTCTGGGCACAGTCTGTTCACCAGAGGCTCAGTACCTGTCTTCTCTCAGGCCTCTGCCTCACACGGGGCTAATGCAGGAACATTACGTTAATTAGTTATTCGTTTAATTTAACTTCACATTTGGTCTCAATTAAGCTTAAAATGTTCTTCCTCATAGTGCTACAATAGCACGTGTAATTAAAAGGCAATAACTCTTTGTGTTTCTCCTTTAGAGATCCATTGGGAGGCTGGGCTAGTGTGTATGAGGAGGGGTGTGGGGGGAGGAGGAGGTGGAAGGAAAAGCGCCTCTTGTAGAGCTGAGCACTTTGGGGGTCCCACTGAAGGTGTGAGGAGGGAACTAAAGCAGATGGAGCATGGGGAGGGTCGGTGCAGGAGCCCTGAGACCTGGTCCATGAGGCAGTGGGAGGAAGGGAGGCTGTGGTTGGAGAGAAGGCCATCGTTACAGCTAGGAAACAGGCCCCTATTCCATAGTAGGTATAATGCCACCTGCCCTGAATGTCTACATCCTACTTCTTAGAACCCAAGACAGTAGATTAGGGACCTTGACATGGTTTGTCCAGTGGGCCCAATAGAACCACAGGGCTCTCTATAAGAGCCAGTGAGGCAGGGGTGAAGAGACTGGAAGATGTTACACTGCTGACTTTGAAGACAGGAAGGGCCCACCAACCCTGGGATGTGGGTGACTTCTAGAAGCTGAAAAGAGGCAAACAGATTCTCCCCTAGGATTTCTCTAAAGTGCTGTCCTTAGCCCTGTGTGGTGATAATGCATGCACACTGCTCTAAGTCACCTGAAGTGTGACAGCAGCAGGGGGAAATGAATATGCATCACTGGTGTAAACAGGGGCATGACCAGCTTGTGGACAGAAGCGTAGGAAAGTGGAAGAAATCCCCAGCGCTGGGGAGCCAGCTCGGTGGACAAAGTGCTTGCTGTGCCAGCGTGAGGACCGAGTTTGAGCCCCAGGCCCATGCAAAAAAGCCAAGCATGGTGCTAAGATATAAACCAATACTCGAGACAGGCAGATCCCTGGGGCTTGATAGCCAACCAGCAAAGCTTACGCAAGCTTCAGGATGGTAAGAACTTACCTCACACAAACAAAAACTAAGGTGGATGGCACTGAGGTTAACTTCTGGCCTTCACATGCATACGTGTCCACCACATGTATAAAATCCCCGAAGATTAACACAGAGCTACAGGGGATAGCCACATAGCATCATTTCAGAAGGCACTGCTCCCTCTACTGGCTGCTTCATGGCTCAGTATCCCAAATCAAATAGCACAGCCTGTCTCTGAATTCATCCATGAGTCTTTAAGTACATTGTTAAAATACACTGTCTCACACTCCTGCCCAATTCCAGACTTTTCACTTCCTCACCACAATAAGCTGCTGTGTGTTTCTCTCAAGTGGATCTGTGTTTTATCCTGTTTGTGCGTTACAGACACATAGACTGATAAAGGGGTGAGGAGCTTACCCACAGAGCCAAACGGCCTCACTTCTAATCTTGACTCCTGCCTACCCTTTGCTGAGTGACTCCCCCAGTCTGTGCCTCTTGTGTGAAGTGGGGGCAGTAACAAGACCTCCTTTATAGATCTGAAACATGACGACCCAAGTGCTTACAGTGCACTTTGGAAAACACCCGGTGACTTCACAAAAAGTGTCATGTCTGCATGGATGACGTGCACTTATTTCCAAGTTTGGGGTTGGGGTGCACCTGCAGATTCAAGGTTCAGTTCTACCAACTACAAAATGCCCTTCGCAGCCCTAAACTGTCACAGTCCATTTAGGATAACCAACACATTTCCAAATTATTCCAGTATCTGTCGCATCTGGTTATGTCAAAGGCTGGGCTGTCATGTTTGTCATTGTTCTTACCACCGTTAGTAGTTCCAAAGGACTTCATAGCTATGAGTTAGGGGAAGGGTGGGTGCAAACGGCGGGCCAGTGTAAAACTAAGGGGTTATTTGAAAGCAAAAGCTGATCTTGAAGCTGAGACACCAGATGCAAGGAATGCATGGAGAGTTGGAGCATCGAGTCCGAGAGTCACTCCTACTGGCCTGCAAGCCCATCTTCTCTGCCTGTGTCTCATCTGTGAAGTCACAGCACAGCTCTTTCCACACTGAGAACCAGAAGCACTTCAGTAGCAACGCAGCTGAGTTGATGGAAAAGTTAGGTCTTGAAGAGCAGAACGGGAAACTGATTATTAGAATAAAAGCATTTGACATACCTTGGATTCCTCCATCCTGATCCTCCCTTGCCTCGCTCCACCAGCATGCAGTCTGTGTTACACGGTGAAGGAAACCCTGTGTTCCCAGTGCCTGAGCACTGACACACTTTAACATTAATTATCTGAAACTCTAGATCAGAAAAGAATCTGCCCCCCCCCCTTTTTTAAAAATCTAAGTTGCTGGGGGCTGGAGAGATGGCTCAGTGGTTAAGAGCATTGCCTGCTTTTCCAAAGGTCCTGAGTTCAATTCCCAGCAACCACATGGTGGCTCACAACCATCTGTAAAGAGGTCTGGTGCCCTCTTCTGGCCTTCAGACATACACACAGACAGAACATTGTATACATAATAAATAAATAAATATTTAAAAAAATCTAAGTTGCTTATCAAAACATTACTCCGTATGCTTTGCTGGTTTGAGATATTTCTAAAATGTTACATGCTATCGCTTACCTGACTGGACAAAGACTCTATTGTAATGGAGCTGGAAGGTCCTGCTACTTTAGCTCGTCAGGATGCTGTCCTGGAAGACCATGGAACGACTTGTTCTCTCATAGACCTCCTCTCCCTTCCACCTTCCGAACAGCAGGAAATCATGTCTTTCTGGACAGTGAACGAACAGCATGACCTGCCCTGTACAGAGAACGGCTGATGGACACTGGCATCGTTTGGGTTGATGAGGGCTAGCCCTACACCAGCCCTGTCTCCATAAGGAGGGATGCATGCAGGGTGCCCCATGGTGACGTCTCCGAATGAAGTCATTGCTTCATTCAGCCTTCCACTTCTGGATTTTTGTTCTTGTTATTTGTTTTTTTAAGGATGGACATGATTACCTTGAGTATGTAAGAAGGAAGTTTCACTTCACCATGCTAGTTATTACAGACAAGAATTGTAGAAGGCAAGCCAAGTTTAAATACTTTATATGGTACATGGGCACACACGGGTGTTTGTGTCTACATTGTATACAGCCAGCTATAATATGGAAGCCTGTCATTTACACCAATTTGTAAAAAGTTGTATGTTGATGATACCTGGGAAGGAATTTAGTTTTTTTTTTCACTTTTACCAAATTCTTATGTAGATAACTGAAATCTCACAGCTACTATCTACTGACTTTATAGACACCTTTTATTGTTTTACTTTTGTAGTTTTTAAAGATTTATTCATGTATTTTAGGTCCACAAGTGTTCCGTCTTCACGAACACCAGAAGAGGGCGCCAGATCCCACTACAGATGGCTCTGAGCCACCAAGGGGTTGCTGGGAATTGGCCCTTTACCCAGTCCTGATTTTGTAGGTTTTTATTTTTAAGCTCAAGGGCAATTTTATTAGGATTGAAAACCCAAAACCGCAGGCTAGGTAGGCTGTTGATCTCGGCAGCCGCCTGGAGGAGGAGCATGCAGAAGAACAAGGCTCTGTGAGAGCCACATTCATCCAGGACTGGCAGCTGGCACCATGGCAGGGAGGGCAGTGGCTTCACAGAAAGAAGCAAGGAAGCCCAAACTTAGAAAAAGCACACTTAGGTTCTGACCAACATCTGAAAGAAAGAGGAGAAAGAAACATTTGCCTCTTTCCGAGTTAGTACTTAGAAAGGTGAGGAGACCTTAGTATCTAACTAAAAGGATCTTCATTCCAGCTGTCTTTTATTATTTTTTTACTTATTTTATTTGATTTTATTATTTATTTATTTATTTATTTGGTTTTTCGAGACAGGGTTTCTCTGTGTAGCTTGGAGCCTCTGTCCTGGAACTCGGTCTGAAGACACGGCTGGCCTCAAACTCACAGAGATCCGCCTGCCTCTGCCACCCAAGGACTGGAATTAAAGATTTGTGCCACCATCACCCAGCTGAAGCTATCTCTGTATTATGGCTGAAGTGAACCTGTTGTCCTAGGGGTGATCCCTTGGCCAGGTGCTTGACCCAGCCCAGCTGGGATGTCAGGTCTCTACTCAGACCAGAGATACCATTCTCTTAAATAGAAGTTTACCCTCAAAGGGCCTTGATTGCTACTGTAACACTGCTCCCCCTGCAGCAGTAACCCTAAATCATTTATGAACTAGATTGGGGATCAGAGCCCCCACATACTTCTGCTATCTTTGGATCTAGTTGGACACCTTCACAAAGGAATGAGAGATAGATTCATTTTCAGGAATATTTATAAGCCCCTCCTTCCAGAGTTGCCTTGGCAGCTAGCTTCCTGGGAGAAGGCACATGGCACATAGCAGTCTGTGATTGTTGGCTAAGGCACCCTGGGAAGGCCACAGGCCACAGGCACCCTTACTCTGTGAGGGAGACTGAGCTCCAGACTGCCCGCTTCCCTCACAGTTTCCACATGGTCCCTTCTCCCCTCCATTGCCAGAACAATGTTTTCAATTTCTTCCCCATGGGCCCTAGGCCAGACTAAGAATCAATTTCATTTGAAGACTTCTGAATAAAGCCTGATCTGGAAAGTTTCCCCGAAGTTAAAGATAATGGAGTCAGTACAAGTGGCGGTGCGACTGTGCCTGGTCCCCACCAGCCTTGACTCTCCGCAGTCTGAGACTGAGTTCCATGAGGCGGTAGGAATGGCTTTTCCTATTCCCTGACAACAGTATCAGGAGAGACAGGAAAAAGAAGCGACCCTACCCTCTCTCAAGTTCTCAACCATAGAGGGTCCTCTACTGTGAGAGACTGGATTCTGCCACACCTAGGCTTGCCAACTGGCTGCTGTGGGAAGCCTTAAACCTTAGGATTATTCTATTTAGAAAGAAGAGCAATCATAATAAATACAGTGCTATAAAACTGAAGTCTCAAAGGAATCGCTGCAGCCCAAGCATCCAGCAGGCACTGACCTCTCCAGCTTGTTCTCCTGCCTCTCAGACTAGAAGGCTCCTCTTCACTCTGCTAGAGACAGGCAGGATGGCACTTCCAAAGCAGAACCAGACCAGACCCTCCATCCCATTTAGTGACAAATTTTATTGATCTGGGAAATTAGACAAATGTAAAGTTATAATGCTGAGAATACACATTCCTTACTAACTTTGGAGAAAGAATTCCCAAGATGAAAACAGAGAGGTAGGCATGTTGGGACACACCTGTAATTGTAGTACTCAAGATGGCTTTCAAGCCAGCCCAGGATCCCTAGTGAGACCCGACCTCAAAGAACCAACCAACTAACAAATTGATGAACAAGATAAAAAGAGTCAGGCCCGATGGTTCAGGCCTAAAACCCCAGGGACTTGGCAAACTAAGGTAGGACGGCAGGTTCAGAGCCTGTCTGGTGTACAGGGAAAGAAAGTTCAAGGCAGCCTGGTAAACTAGTATAATTGTTCTTCAAGATAAAAAGTGAATTGAAGGGTAGGATGGTAGAATACTTACCTATCACGTGTGAAACCCTAGGTTCAATTCCCAATACTGCCAAAGGAAAAATGAAAAGGCCAAAGCCCAAAGAGGCCTCTCTTGTTTGTTTGTTTGTGTTTTTGTTTTTGTTTTTTGAGACAGGGTTTCTCTGTGTAGCTTTGGAGTCTGTCCTGGAACTTACTCTGTAGACCACACTAACCTTGAACTCACAGAGATTCACCTGCCTCTGCCTGAGTCACCAGCACCCGGCTTGAGGACTCTTACGTGATACTAAATACTTAAATTAGGTATTGAGAGGCCACCAAACCCTGGGAGAAGAAGACCCAAGATACGCAGCAGGGAGACACTTAACATTCCCATCTCTCTCTCTCTCTTTTAATCTCTAAGCAAACTCAAAATGTAAATATACAAAAGCTGTAGGCAGGAGTTTGAAGAGAAAGCCCTGTGGTCATTGTTTATTGCTTTATTAGGACTCAGGCAAATGCCACGCACTGCTTTTATAAGGCTCTGTGGAATCACATAAGGAGTGGTCAATAACCTCTGCCCGACACAACTTCCCAGCTGTCGCGGCAACGCAGCCTTTGTGTCTGAACGCCTTTCTCCTTCAAATGGCTCCAAATATTCAACTAAGAACTTAGACGTTATCAACAGGGACCAGGCTCTTCCATTGGCCAACAGAGCCTCAACCTCCTTCTCCCTAGATCTTCGACTAATGGCTTCACTCAACAGCTGCCCCCAGCAGATCATAGTTACCACTTTCCATTCACACCAGACAGGAACCCTGCAGTATGGGTACCGGACAGTGACAACCTCCGCCCACAGAGTCTTCTGAAAGCCGGGGCTCAAGGGCTTTGTCTTAGTGACAGACAAACACTCCACTGGTTTGAAGACATGAAGGCTGTCATCAAGGCTCCGGAGCGTGCTTCTGTGCTCATCCTGGACATAAAAGCGTCCCATGTTTCCAGTACCGCACTCAGCAGGACCGCAGTGGTTTGGCATAGATTGGTTCCAGCACATGTTGAGTAAGAACCAAGAAGAGGCCTCCGAGAAAGACAGCACTGAGGAAAGCCAGCAGGACATAGCGGCCAATGAAAAAGGCATCCACAATCTGGAGACAGAAGACATCAAAATGGAATCACCGCCACTCCAGCACCCTGCCTGCGCTCCCCTGAGACCTGATGGAATCACCCTGAGACCTGATGGGATCACCCTGAGACCAGATGGAATCACCCTGAGACCTGATGGGATCACCCCCACTCCAGCACCCTGCCCGCACACTCCTGAGACCTGATGGAATCACCCTGAGACCTGATGGAATCACCCTGAGATCTGATAGAATCACCCCCACTCCAGCACGCTGCCTGTGCTCCCAAGACCTGATGGTTATGCCCACAGTTTCTTGGTAACTTCTAGTAGCATCCTGTCCTCTTTCCCTCTGCATATGAGCACAAAAATTTTCAGCTCCTTGAGTAGAAGATACAAGGTTTTTAAAGAAGGGGGGGGGGAGCAACAATAACTAATAATAATAAGGCACAGGAAACAAATGGCTTAATTTAGAAGAAAGGGTGGCTTTCCACACGAGGTGACTTCCATCAGAAGAGTTCTGAACCCTAATTGCAAGGGAGCGAGGAAAGTGGCCACTTATCTAAGATATTAAAACACTAAAAGGATACATAATTTGCCCCATACATACAGTTGGTTGCTTGGTAACCAGTCATATATGAAGTCCTAATTCTACTGGTCTTTGTTGATAAAAGAATCTGTTTCTGGTCCTGGCTCTACCCAGTCACCTGCTGTCCATTTCTAGAGAACAGAGCTCTATTCTTCACCCCAAAGCTAAGCGGTGATATTTAAATGGGTGGGGAAAGCAGGTATCATCATCCAAAGGAGTGCCTAACTTCACAGAAGCCATGAGAACTCACTTCCAGGAGAGGTTCCCAAATACCTGACAGTAACTGTCACAGCCTAAAGAGCCAGGAACTCTTAACCCCTAAAACACACTGACTGCACGACAGTGGCATTAAGGTTGTGACCTTAAAGTAGGGAGATAAGCTTGGACTATCCAATCCAGGCAGGCCCAATGTAAACAGAGTCCTTAAAAACTGGACACACTTTGGAGATCTCCAAAGAGTTCCAGACCAGCCGAAGCTACGTAGTCTTGTCTCAAGAAACAAAACAAAATGAAAGAAGAGGCAGAAAACAGGTTCGGGGAAAGATATGTGGGACGGAGGCAGCCAGAGAGGTGACACTGGCAGCTGCTGGCTCTGAAGATGACTACAGACGGAGGCCATGGGCTGCAGCTTCTACAGCTGAAGAGGTCAGGAAATGGGCATTCCTCCAGAAACACTGGGAAGACGCATGGCCCTGCCCACCCTTGAATTTAACTCAGGGAGACTGAGGGTGCACTTCTAACCCACACAACTGTAGATAATACATTTATGCTGGGAACCATTCCATTGGCAGGCAGGCTCTTGTTACAGCAGCAACAGAGCGCTAATACAGTCTTGATGCACAAAGCTCCTGAACAATCCAAGCAGTGATACGAACGAGATCCAAAGACATCAAGAAGCACCCCAGCTGCTCCAGAGACTACCCCAACAGTCAACTTACAATCAAGGTCAGTTTGATAAAAACAGCTTTAACATAACTTTGACCTTGGCTCTGGTACTGAACAAGTCTCTTGCGGGCTACATGTTTGCTCGCTCGACTGTTTCACTTTTTAATTAGCCAATTAGCAGGCCTTGGGTGCAGAAGGCCCAGGCCATGTATTATTGATACAGTATTGAGCCAGGCTGCTGCAGGGGCCAGCGCTCAGAACCTGAAAATGAGAACTCCGATTCTGCAGGCCATGCTGACAAACATACTTTGCTCAGTCCCCGTTGTCTCCTGAGTCCAAAACTCCTATGACAGAATAGAGGGACTGATTTAGAAAGAGCGCTCGCTCGTGCCTGTGCTAGCGGTCACATTCGCAGTGATTACAAACAGGGCAGCACACATCACTCTTTCCCCTGAAAACAAAGACACCAGGGTGGGCCGGGTGTAGAGAGAGCCTGACACCCAGGGGAGCAACTCCTGGAATCTGTGTGGTAAGCACAATTTTCCTGAGAGTTTCCAGAACTAATTTTCCTCCTTTCACCATCATTAATTCTAGGGAGAACTGGAAGTATGTGTTCATTTTACATCAAAAATTATGCAATTTTGTGGACTGTATCAAATCGACAACCTGTCAGATCTGGAGAAAGGTCTGATACTCCGTTGAGTTCTAACGAGGTTGAAGATGTTGAGAACGGAGTTCAGCTTAAGTCCTTGCTTAAGTTCCTGGACAGCGTCAACTCGGGCAGGTCACCTGTACCTCTTTCCCAGAAAGGCAGCAGGACCTCCCTCATACCACTGGGAGTTGTGTGGTTTCAATGAGACAATGTAAACAAGGCATTTAGTTAGCATAGCTCTTGGCATATCGTAGCCCTTTAAGAAATGATGGCCACGATCATGTTTTTCTCCTTCAGAATTAAAATAGCTACTGAGAGGAAACAGAATGCCACAGGAAGACGCAATGGGATAGAAAAGGCCAGTGCCCTTGGCAAGAGCCTATGGATTTGAGACCAGCCACACACGGCAGAACCGGAGCCCCAAATCAAAAACCAACTACAAGAGGGGAGGTCTGGCAGAAATGGGACAATGAGAGAGGGGACACAAATTGATTTACAGAGGGAGGGGCCAGCTGATGTGGTCTAAGGAATAAGGATGACAGAATCATTGATACAGAACTCATCTGCAATGTCCCCTTCTGTTTCTTATGGAAAGGCTCCTCTTTCCCGCTCTTCTTGGTGGAAATGACTCTTGACACCACAAGTGGAAAAAGTCAGCCTCAGAGGATGGAAAATCATGCCACTCAGCACCGAGAACACTACCACAATTCTGACCTATGATCTAAGACTCTGAACCAAGGAATAGGGACACCACACGTAAGGCCTACGCCAGTTCCTAGTTCCTAACTCTTTCCTCTTTCTGTCTCCACAGTAAGGAGTGGCTTTCCACACTTCCATTAAACTCCATGCAAGCAGCAAACAACAGTACAATGGATAAATCATTGCCTGGTGGTGCTACAGGTGGGATTCCTAAGACCCTTTCCCAGGGTAAAGGGAGAGGGACCTTGCAACACCCTGGGAACCCCATCATTGTTTGAACAGGTCTCAGGGCACGATGGGGAAAGCCGCGAATAGGGACAAAAGTGAACCACTAGCCTTACCTTCATTTCCACCTCTGGGGCTGGGAATTCACTGGCTCGAGGGAAAAGCAATAGAACTGCAGTAATGATCAGAGCACCCAGGAAGACGAAGACGATGGAGAACCTGGGGACAGAGACCTGAGTATCAAAAGCACTGACCACAGTCAACTTTTTATCCGCTGGGCCTGCACTGGCTCCTCCCTGGAGTCAACATGTTTCAGTCCCTTAAGGTCCACAAAGTCCTCCACCCCAAAGCCGTGCTTCCGAGATGGCTATCAGCTGGAAGCATCCCTATTTGTTCCTGGTAATTCCAAATTCCTAACAATGGGAAGTCACAGTTTTCTGCACAGTGCGTGTGCTCACGAGTGCATGTGCTCACAAACGCACCCCTCCCCATCCCCACACACTTTTGTTCTTTTCAGATCAGAACCCCCAGTAAACAGTGTAGCTCTCCATTTATTGCTGACATGACCCCCAGAGAGCGCATCTCTAGTGTCTCTGGGGTTAGGTTATGGCCCGAACAGAGGTCCAGGCCAACTCTCTGTAACTTCTGTGTCCGTGGGCCCAGGCTGGAGCCTTAGGGACTGGACCAGGCACGTGTCATAAATCTGAACAATTAAACCAAACTTCCACCTACAACTCCCAAGGACCTCAACAGCAGCCAAAGCAGATTTTCCTGTCACCTCTGGTCTCCCTCCTCCCCTCCACAGTGAGAACTGAGACTCACTCCCATTCTCCTCCCACCTCTGCCTGAGCATAAATAACACAGTTAGCGCTTATGATAAGAGGTTAAAATGCAACTCATTCAAACTGCCAGTAATTACAAAAATGATCTTCTGAATTCTAAATGTTTAATGAGCGTCAGCGATTTTCGCCTCTAATTGCTTTTACCTAGGACTCCAGGCTGGAAAGAATGCCTTACCTAGCTATCCCAGAGGCTCTGAATAACAGCACACACAGCAGCAGCACCAACACCCAGATCAGAGCAAGGAGGAACACGCCAGCACCCACTCCCAGCACCATGCCAGTCATCCTACGGGACAGAGAGCAGCATCAGCCTCTGGCTGGACCATCCCACCCCTCGTGTGTGCCTAGCGTTCGATGACACAGAAAGCCTAACTCTACGAGGAATCCTGATGACCAGTATGTCTGGAGGCTCATTCACGATGGGTCTTTAATTTTCAGGAATGTCCAGGCCCAGAGTCCCTTAATGAAAACCGGGAATGTGGAGCCCAGAGCTTTCTTAGTGCAGGAATAGGGGTGGGGGACCTGGGGGCTGGGGTGAGGCTGCTGTCTGCTCTCGGGTTGTCACTTCAGATCTGGTCTCTTCTGCTCCACTTTGACTTCTACTCAAGCCCACATTAGAAATCTGAGCTCTCTCCATTCACAGATCCTAACCAGGGGCTCTCAGAAGGCTGCAGAGCCAATGTAGAAGCTGAAACTTCGGCTAAACCTGAGGAATGAACTTAGACCCAGCAGACAATCACAAGGCAGAATTTTCCACTCTGTGTCAAGTTCTTATTCGCAGAAGGAAGAAAACTCCCAGTCCCTGAAAGAAGATGTCACGCGTTGGGTCCCTTATGGTATGCTATGTGCTTTACCAGACCTGGCGTGTTCAGTCATGGCAATCAGAAACGTACTATCACATGTGAGCCATACAAGAGGCAAGTTAGTCTTGGTTTCCTAGTTGAGGCTCACAACAAGAGGGATTCGCTCTCAGTTCTCGAGACCATAGGGACAACAGAAGCGTCTGCAGGGTGACATCCCCCTACAGGATCTAAGCAAGATGATTTCTTGTTTCTGGTAGCTCTGAGATTTCCCTGGCTCGTGTCTCCTGTCTCCACATGACACTTCCCCTGTCTTCTTGTCTGCCTGTTATCACTAGACAAAGCCCTTAATCACACGTGCAAAGATCCATGTGCCAAATAAAATCACATTTGCAGGCGCTGGAAGTTGGGTGTGGACATCTTTTGGTGGGCGCTATCACTCCACTAATGAGGGAACACCATCTAGAGCACCTCCTTGGGTTTCCTTCTCAGTATCAGAGACAAATCTTGAGAAAACAGAGTCTTCCTTAGCTTTCTGGGTTTCTTTACCTGGTGATTTAAACACAATGGAAATAGATTGGGGTGTTCCGTTGTAAGCTTACTGGAAATGAGGCTCTGAGCATGAACTGGAAAAAAGAAAAAGAAAAGAAAAGAAGTTTATTCAATCAACACTGTGCTGTGACCACTGTGGAAAACACTGTGCTCCTAGTTCGGATGACAAAGGGGAAAAAGATACAACGCCTAGCAGAAGCTGATGGTCTATTAGGGCACAATGTGATGCAAACAGCTATTCATGTTATATTCATGTTATATTGCAGCAGAAGCAAAGTGTATCACGAGCTGGGATGGTGAGAAGATTAAGGGATAAGCCAGTGCTAGCACACTTGGGAAGAAATCAGTGGCAGGATGGTGGAGCAGAGGGAGTGCCTACTTGCCTCTGTCCTTTCTCGGTAGAGCCCTGTGAGTACCATATCAGTAACTGCAGAAGGGAAGTACTTTCCTGTCTCTGTGTCTCTGGGACTTGGTATTTGCTCTTTCCACAGGCAGGATTCAACCATCAGGCCCCAGCAAGGCACCTGCTATTTGATTCCTTGTGTGACAGGGTTGGCCTCTCCTCATTGTTGATATTGTAGCTTCATCAGAAGAACATCATCCTCAGAGAGCCCGTCCCTGACATCCCATCTACAGTAACTCTCAAAAGAGTCAGTCAGTCTCTCTCTCTCTCTCTCTCTCTCTCTCTCTCTCTCTCTCTTTTAGAGCATTCTCCACCAAGTACAGGTAATAACGCAGGCTTTCGCACGCCAGGCAAATACTCTACTGCTGAACTATCGCCTCAGCCTTCACGGCTACCACTTCTATTAATTTGTTTACAAGTTCACTTTCTGTCTCTCTTATTTAGATAATAAACCACCTGAGGGCAGAAACTGTTTTTTTTCCCTCCCTGCTGTCCCCATTTTTCAGGATAAATATTAAGTGCAACAAATATTTGCTGAGGAATAAGTGAATCCAGCTGGCCAGTCTGCAGAATTCATAAGGTCATAGCAAGGTGGAGAAAGATGATGGGAACCACTGGTTAATACACTGCACTGGGCTGATGAGGGGAATGCCTCACAGAACGGTGGAAGTGATGGCGAACCTCAATATGTAAAATGGCAGCATCCTGAAGTGCTCTGAATTTAATGTACATCCAAAGCCAGGTCGTCAGGCAGGGGCTGAGCTCAAAGTCCACAGTGGCCCGAGTGGAGATGGGGGCCTAGGAGGGCTCCTCCTGTGAGACCTCAGCCCATGGTGCACTGAACTAGAACCAAGGAGGACAATGCGTAAGGCCGGGTCCTTGAAGGGACAAGTCATGCTTGAATAGACTCTGAAAAATCTATTAAGAACTTAGTTGAAGCAAGCACGCCAAATGACTCAGGTGATGGCAAAACAAACAAACAAACAAGCCAAAAAAAAAAACCCAAAAAAACAAAAACCCACCTAGACAGAAATCCGAATTTTAACCTGGTATTACCGGCAAGCAGAGTGTCAGGTCCCACACTCACGCTGTATGGAATTCCTAATCGAGAGACTAACTACAATAAACTGGAACAACCTTTTTGTACACTGTGAAACTGTGTCACTCTGACTGGTTCAATAAAAACCTGAATGGCCACTAGCTAGGTAGGATTTCCGGGCAGCAAGGACGCTGAGAAGGAGGAGGAGATTCCAGGAGACACAGAGCAAGCAGGATGGGCAGTATGGAGATGAGGTAAGAAAGTAAACTAATAGAAATGGGTTAATTTAAACTGTAAGAACCATTTAGAAACAAGCCTAAGCTAAGGCTGACCTTTCAGAATTAAGTCTCCATGTCATTATTTTGTGAGCTGGCAACCCAAAGAAAGACCCATCTCCAGTAAACTACAGAATAACTACAATAAAGACAGCAACTAAATAAATAACTACGAAAAATAACTAACTACAATTAACTACAGAAACCACAATAAAAGTGAGAAACCTCCAGGATCCCCAATGGCCTAAACTGAAGCCATCATTGGGGACACCACTCAGCAGGCAGGCAAGGCTCCCAAGAGAGGAAACGCAAGGGAGCTGGGAAGGTGGCCAAGGTGGCAAGGTGCCTGCTGCACAAGCGCGAGGCCCCAAGTCCCAGTCGCCAGCACTCATGTAAAAGCAGTGGTGTCCATCTGTGACCCCAGCGCTGGGGTGTGGGCAAATGAGGGACGGCGAGCTCACTGGGGAGCCAGTCTAGCCAGCTGGTGGACTCCAGTTCGGTGAGAAACCCTGTCTGAAAGGCGAGGTGGAGAAGCAATCAAAGAAGACGCCTGGCATTGGCCTCGGGCTCCCACCGCTCACTTGCATATATACCTGCACACATACATGCATGCACCCACACAAACAGGCACCCAACCAGCACACAGACATTTAAAGAAGAAATGAATATGAAGGTTGAGAGGGAGGTCAACGGTAGAGCACGTGCCTATCACAAGTGAGGCCCTAGGTGCAACCCGCTGTACCTCACAGATTATAAAATTTTTATTTTATATTTACTTTGCAGCAATAATCATGGACTCATCGTAAATGTAAGCACCCCAGACCTGACTGTTGAAAGATCTCATTCTGGATTTAAAAAAATAAAAGTAGCTCTTTACAAAAGAGACAGAAAATCCCATGAGAAGATGAAACCTGAATGGGAAAAAGACATACAAGGCAGACACCAGCAAAGCCAATTCAGGGAAAGGAGGAAATGGGAGCAATGACAATGAACACAGTTTCTAGTCTTGCAGGAGGAGTTCTGGAGATCTGCTTCTCAGTAAACACCGAGCTCTACCGAACTGCACGCTTCAAATGCTTAGGATGGGAAACTTCTTCGTGTGTGGTTTGCCACATGTGGGGAAAACAAAATGAAAAGTAAGCTAGTGGAGCAACATTAGTAACAAGAAAATATATGTCAAGATATGAAAATATAAAAAACAGTTTTGGAAGGAATAATTTAGCCAAAAAAGATGTAACCTGAAGGAAATATAGACCTAACGAAAAAGACTCCAAGGGTACAGGCAAAACAGACAAAAGCACCACGATACTAACTAGCAAACTGAAATGAATGGATTCTGCTATGATTTCAGAAATAGATCAGAGGAAAAAATGAGAATAAACTGTATACAGAGGATAGCTGAATGGCCAAGATATGTAAAGGTCCTTAGCCACCAGGAAAATGCAAATAGAACCAAACAAAATATCTCCATGTATCTAGCAGATAGCCAAAAAGTCGCTGGCAATCTGTAAAGATGTGGAGCATTATGGACACAATCAATCATACAAATGACAGTATAAAGCAATACAAATGAGTAAATTACAATTACATCAGGCGATGTAGGTGAACTTCACAAGCATTATGTGAGGGACAGAGTAAAAAGTTCCTGGTAGACTCCAATTATATGATATTCAAAAACAGGTCCGACTGCTCCAGCATATCTTGAATGACTGGATGGGGCACGGATGATAAAACTGTTTTTTTTTTTTTTCGAGACAGGGTTTCTCCGTAGCTTTTGGTTCCTGTCCTGGAACTAGCTCTTGTAGCCCAGGCTGGCCTCGAACTCACAGAGATCCACCTGCCTCTGCCTCCCGAGTGCTGGGATTAAAGGCGTGTGCCACCACTGCCCAGCTAAAACTGGTTTTTGACGTGGGCGATGGTTACCTGACTTTGTAACTTTGGTAATCAGTATCTAGCCATAGATACTTGGGGCTCATGCCATTTTCTGTTGTCTTACACTTAGCTACAAAACCCTTTCGTGAAACGATTCAACCGTCATTGGAAGGTTAATGAAATGGAGACTGTTACCTTTTAAATTTTTAAAGAAATGGCATAGATTCTTTATGACACATGAATCTGCACAGACACACATGACGCACTACAGACAGCAGAACATTATGCCTGGGCGTTTCATGTTCTTTGGAGGGGGCCGTGGGGATGAGGGGCTGATGTGAAACAGACTGGTCCTGAGCTAGCTCTTTGAAGCTGAGTGATAGTTGAGTAGATGTTGGCTTCACTATTTTCTAAACATTTGAATGGAGTTCAAACTTGCAGAGTAAAAATATGTATGCATATGCATACACATATAAGTATGTTTTAATACAACAAATATTTGCGAAATTTTTCATAGCTAAAATTATGCAACTTCATGAAGAGGCCTTTTAAAAGTACCTGGACAGTGGGATAAAGCAGGCTGTGCAGAGAAGTAACTCATACTTTTAGATGAGTTGGCTTAATTAAAAAAAAAAAATCTCAATTTTTCTTTAACATAAAAATTCAGTGCAATTCTAACCAAAATCCAAAAATACCTTTTTAAGGAATTGGAAAATGAATCCTAAATTCACACAGGAGAGTAAAGAGCCGAGAATAGCCAACACCACTCTGAGAACTAGGATGGCGACGTGCCTTTCTTGTCACCAACTGCCGCAGACACACGATGAAACAAGGTAATTAAAACAGTGGGACAAAGACACATGGACCACTAGCAGGAAACGGGAAGCCCAGACTCAGGGCTGTGCACTCACGAGAACTTCATACTCCCGAGGAAGAAGATGGCTTCGTGGCCCGGTGCATGAAGGGTTTCACGGTGGTGGTAACACAAACGATTACCAAACCAGAGGAGAATCAAACGCGACCTCTACTCCGCAGCATGGACAGAAGTCGATTTTGAGTGGAAGTACTTCATAATGAAACAGCATATGCTTAAATATATGAATGTTCAGGCTGACTCCACGAGAATACATAATGAAGTACAGTAGCCAGATGCTTGCACCTAAACTTAGAATCACCACGAGCGTGAAAGCGCCACAGGCAGACGATGCAGGTGTGTTGTGCTGGCAACTCAAATACCACGAGCTGTGCTGCCCTTCAGTTACACGAGCTTTCTAGACTGAGGAACAAGTCTTGTTCAAGTTCCAAACCACAGATCAGTATAATTCTCCCTTGATTTACATTCCTGGAAATTACACTTTATTAAACTGTGCCAAAAATTACATTATGTTAACACACACAAAAAAAAAATGGAGTTAGGTTCTAGGCCCAGATAATTATGAAATGAGAACACTGGAAGGTTGCACACGATGCAATTCTTTGTCTGAGGACTGTTCCAACATCACACACCTAACATTCTCAGCTCTCTGGAGTATTCCAACCACAATAATAGCTAAATATGGCCTCACAAATCCTCAAATGTCCCCGAGGGGCATGCATCTCCTTTGAAAAGTTCACACAAAATTCTAGAAACTCTCATATAAGCAGACACAAATGAGGACATTCACTGTAATTTCAACAGGAAAATGGGAGGGGAAAAGCTACACACCTGACAGGTGGATTTACTATAGTCTCACAATGAACACTTAAATGAATGGACTTGCTCTACATACACTGACATGAATCCATCTCTGACAAAAGCAAGTGGCAACCCAGGAACAGTGGCAACCACTGTAACACCAGCACTTGGGGAAACTGAGGCAGGAAGCGCTCTAGTTCCAGGCCAGGGAGGCCTATCTAAAACAAACACAGACACAAATGCACATATATGTAAGTATATAAATAATTGTTCTTTCTTTTCCCTCTCCCGGCAACAGTGCGCAGAATGCTCCAGCATCTGAAATACTGTCGTAGGCTTTCCTACAATACAGCCCTAACAAAACCAGGCTGTTTGGAGCCCCTGGCAACAGTTCACCTCTGCACCAAGAAGGCTGGGAAAGCCCTAAATCCGAATGTGGTCTGAGGTTCCTGCTGTAAGACCTTAAGTCCACATGAGATCGTCTGAGACAAAGAAGTACGCCAGCAGGGCCTACCCTGATTCCACGTGTGCTAAGTGTGTCCGTGACATGATCAAGTGTGCTTCCTTATTGAGAAGCAGGAAATTGGGAAAGTGTTGAAAGCCTAAGCACAGAGTCGGAAAGTGAAATAAATGTGGAGCTTTTTTAAGTAATAAAAATCAAAGCTCTGGGGGAAAAGTAAATAAATACATGGAAGCTGTAAACTGAAATCCAAAGCGTACGGTTTATATTTTAGACTTAAAAGAATAATCTCCAGCCAGGCGTGGTAGCGCACGCCTTAAATCCCAGCACTTGGGAGGCAGAGGCATATGAATTAAGAGTATAACAGTATGGGTACTGCATAAGGAGACAGTTAGATTAGTAAAGCACTTGCCCTGGAAGCGGGAGGACTTGAGTTAGATCACGGAACCCATGTGAAAAATGCATCTAATTCCAGTGCTGGAAAGGCAGAGATGGGAGGCTCCTTGAGTCTGGCCAAGTTAAACGCTCGGTCAATAAAAAACATGGTCTCAAATGACAGAGCTCTTGAGGATAACTCCTGCTTCCACATGCACACACATGCAAGTGCACCACCCCGGAAGACATGCTAAAACACAACAACAAAGAGAGGCGAGCACAAACTATACACAACAATCCTGGCGTCTCTGGGAGGGAGGAGGAAAGCAGGATGGACCAGCAAAGAATGGAAGGGATTTTTAACTATCTGTGATGCTTTGTTTCTTTAAAATAAAAACCATAAGCAGAATGCGAGAATGCTAATATTTACTAATCTGGATGGTAGGCACAACATTTTTATTATATTATATTACCCAAATCAGAGATTTCAACAGCCCCTAATTTTAAAACACTTGGGAGACCTTTTTTTAATTTTCAGGGTTTTTTTAAAAATTTAATGTGCATTGATGTTTTTTCTGAATATATGTCTCTGTAAAGATTTAGATTCCCTGGAACTGGAGTTACAGACTCCAGTGAGCTGCCATGTGGGCGCTGGGGATAGAACCCAGGTCTTCTGGAAGATCAGTCAGTGCTTTTAACCACTGAGTTATCTCTCCAGTCCTAAGAAATTAAGCAAAGACTTCTTAGTTTTTAAAAAGTAACTGATAACTTGGTCTATTGGCTTCAGGTCAATAATCTGAGTTATGTGGGTGGCTGAAGAAGAATTAATTTCCAGCTCAAGGCCCACGTGGGCAACGTGGTAGGGCTGTTTGAAAATAAAGTTATCAAAAAAGGAAAAAAGGGGGGGGCGGATAAGGGGAGGAAGAGTGACAGAGCTCTTGCTTAGAACCAGTTCCCCTTATCAGGGTGTGCATGATTTAGGGACAGAGACTGGTGAGTGATCAGTTCGGATACTACTGAAATCCTTCAGATAAGAAAACTTGCCTCGCCAAGTGGCGGTGGCTCACACCTTTCATCACAGCACTGAGAGGAAGAGGTAGGCACATCTTTGTGAGTTTGGTAGCCAGCCTGGTCTACACAGTGAGTTCCAGGACAACCAGGGCTACACAGAGAAAGCCTGTCTTGAAAAGCCAAAACCAAAACGGAACACACAAAGAACACTTGTCTTAGCTGTGGAAATGGAAAGGGGCCAAAAGGAACATCAGAAGTGACCAGTGTGACTGGCTGAGCTGGTGAGACCGCCTTGAAGGAAATGTCTAGTTAGGATTAGCTGCTCTGCTCTGGACACCATACAATAACCTGAAGACGTGAGCAAACTTATCACCTAGAAGCTGGTAACACCAGAAACATTGATCTTCTATCCACACTGATCTGACATCGAGTTACACAGATGGTGTGGGAACAAACAGCTTCAGACCCTTCTAAAATGAAGGTCATTATTTCATAACCAAATTAAATTTTGGGGGTTCTTTTAAAGTTTTTTTTTTTTTATTGACGTGGTGTGTGTGTGTGTGTGGGGGGTGATATTTGTGCAGGTGTGAACCCAGGGTCTCATGCATGCTTGTGTGTGTGACGTCTGTGCAGGTGTCTATTGAAGCCAAAGAGGGCATGAAATTCCCTGAAACTGGAGTTACAGAAGGTTTTAAGCCCGGGAACTGGACTCAGCTCTCTGGAAGAGCAGCTGATCCTCTCTCAGCTCCAGTGTCCTTCTGGTCCCCCTGCATCCATCTCCCCAATGCTAAGATTAGAGGTGTATGAACCACACCCTGTTCATGGGGTGCTGGAAACAGAACCCAGGGCCTTGTGAATCCCCAAGTCTTTTTTGTTCGTGAGATTTAATCTAAACAAAAATGTTTATTTACTTAAGATTCAGAATATTATTCAGATTTTCTTGGAGAGCTGATGGCTTAGCCAACAGTTTTAATAGTGAATCCATTTGAATCGGGTAGCTTAGAGTAGGAAAAGTTACCTATGTACATTTAAATGCCTTGACTAGCAGTGGCAAGAACAAGTCAAGGCCAGGGATTCTGTTGTTTTTCTCCTTATGATGGAAGCTGTGAGGTTTATTGCTGTCAAGTTTCTCCAGACCCTGCCTATATGTGTCCTGCATTCTTCCTTCATCCAAGGTTGGGTCTCCCTGCCCTTCCACCAGTTGTCAGGGAAAACTGAAAGTCCTGCATCCAGAGCTCATAAGATGGGAACTACAGCGCTCCCCACCAGGCTGAGAATCTTAAGGGAGAAACCTAGGTCTGTCACAGGACAATTTCCTGTCCGCGGAGAGTCCCAGGACAGAAGTATGGCTTAAGGCTTCTGGTGGATACCTTAACCCATACCCCAATTTTCAGAACCAAGTCCTTGAAAACAACAGGTTACTGGACAGGATTACCCTTCTGGAGAAATCCTTTGCGATTTTCCTTGGTTTTCTGTTTGTTTTGTTTTTATTGCTGTTGTTTTAAGATAGGGTTTCCTTATGTAACAGCCCTGGTTGTCCTGGAACTCAATTTGTAGAGTTGACTGGCCTCGAACTCACAGAGATCCGCCCACTCCAGCCTTCTGAGTGCTGAGACTGAAGCTGTGTGCAGCTACACCTGGCTTCCCTTTTAGTTTTCTTTGTTGTTTATTCCAAACCTTCAAAAGTAGTTAGAATGGCCAGGTGTAGTGGCACACACCTCTCATCCAAGCATTCAAAAGGTTGGGGCAGGAGGATCACAAGTTTGAGGCCAGCCTGGGATGTACACCAAGATCATCTCAAAAAAACAACAAACCGAAGAGACTGAGCGTTGACACTTTTTCTACTTTAAAAACTTCGTTCTCGTTTGGGCTTTAAAACATTAGGTTAATGCCTCCATTTTTGTGCCTCAAGTCACACGCAAATCTGGGGAAAACCAACTGCCAGGCCGCCTAAAGACCACCAACATGACACCTGGCTGTAGAAAGAGGGTGTTCCACTATCCCTAGGGGATCCTGCCCCTTTTCCAGGGCAGTCCGCTGGTCGCACTACACAGCAGCTCCCCGCAGCGGAGCTGGGAACCCTGGGATCCAAGCAGCAATCCCAGGCAGCCGCCAGGGTAGCCTGCGGGGGTCCGCGCACCTCCCGCCCTCGCCTTCCCGGCCTCCGTGGCCGAGCATTTGGTCCTCACCAGGCCTTCACGTTCCTTACCCGGGTTCACATCTTGCACTCCATTCGGCTCACCGGAGCTTTGGTCTACTTTGGACGAATCACAAGTAGGGTTTCATTTAGAAGATTTACGATAGACCAATCAAACTCGCTCTTTCAGCACTTAGCTTCCTCCTCGTTAGCCCTCGTTTGCGGTGGCTCCGGGCAACGCAAAGCGTGGTGGGTGGTGAACACGTCGGTCTCCTTTACGCCCTCCGATTGGGCTGTCATGCACTGTCCTCAGTTTCGATTGGATAGCAATGTTTGTCAATCACGTTTCCTTAACCACTAAACCCTCGGACAACAACCGGAGGACCGTTTTTTTTTTTTTTTTTAGCTTCTCGCTGTTCGTGTTTAGATTGCCCCGGCCCCGCGGTGGAGGAGCCCCCTCAATGCTCCTGGAGGTGCGGAGAGCTGTTCTGCTGTTAGACACCAGCTACTGTCCCTCCGTCTGTTGAAAAGCCAGTCCCCAATCTGTGGGAGGGGCCCAGGATTGCTAACATCTCTCCTGAATTGAGTCCAGATCACTAGCTGAAATAACATCATGTTCTGTGTCATTACCTGGCCTTGTTTTTTTGGTCGTTGTTCTTCCCTTAGCTTTTGACACGTACCAAACTAAGGATCAGTGAAACCAAGAGACAGACTGGGGAAGAGGTCCGAGGTCAAATAAACCCTTTTCATTATTGCCATGCCATCCACGCAGCTGGTCCACACTTAGAGAGGAGTGTCTTCCCTAACTGCCACCCAGAATTTGTCAAAATTTTGTACCCAGGCTGTATAGTTTCTTTGATCAAAAGATCAGGTCAGTGAAAGGAAACGGCAGAGTTTGCATCCTCCACTGTGGGAGCAGGAAGGAAAAACAGACAATAACCAAAAGCAATACCAGATTTGGGAAATGTGGCCCTTGAACCTATGTCCTTAGACAAAATATGGAAACACTGAGAAGCCAGCTGTTCTGTCTAAATCTGACTTAGTGCATGCGATCCTCCACCCCCAGTCCCCAGCCCTCCAGTCTCACTATATATATAGCTCCAGCTGTCCTGGAAGGAAGGAACCTCTCAAATGTGTAAATTTATTTGTTCTGCTATCGATAGAGTTTGAGGCCAGCTTGGTCTACAGAGCCAGTTCAAGACCAAAAGTACTACACGGAGAAGAAATCCTGTCTCAAAATAAACAGAAAAACAACAAACAACAAAACAAAACCCAAAACCAAACCTTTCTCCTTTTGATACCAAATTAAAAGAAAATTCCTTGAAATTTTTGTAGATATTTTCTCAAAAGAAAAACCCTCTGTCACAGGGAATTCAAGTTTCTATGACCGTAAGTGAAGTGTGATTGCCACATAGTGTGTGTGTTTGTTTTTATGTTGGCTGCGCCTAGTTTCCCTGCAATAACAACAGCTGGGTTGTAACACAGACCATGAGGTCATAGCTTAAAATACCCTGGACACTTGGGGGAAAAGTTGATTGTTTTACCTTAAATGTCTCCAGTAAAGCCATCTGGTATACCTATCGTATAAATGCTGAGGAAGCTGAGGCAGAAGGATCTCAAGTTTCAGAGCAACCTGAGTTACCCGGCAAGTGTGAGGTCAGTCAGGACCATATCTGAGACTATCTCAATAAAGCAGCACAAAATGATGCTGATAACGAATCAGGTCCAACTGGCTACTGGAGCTGAGCGGACTTTAGAAGTCATGCATTATTATCTCAGATGGGCAGAGATTGTTACTTCTTTTCTAAAATCACATGTTCAATGGACAGAGAAAGTTCTAGAAGCCTGTTCATCGGTACAGCATTTCTCCCAACTACATCGTTTCCTTTCTCAGGCAGAGTTTACCTCACTTAGGCTGATGCCGGTGTTAGTCAGCTTTCTGTAAGCTGGCAGCGTAGAAAATTCATCAGAACTTCTATAATTTTTATCCCATGTCTAATTCAAAACTTATACTGTGCAGCATTATCAATATGTTAGACATTTAGACTTTATTTCAGAGATTTTGAATTGCATTCTCTTTTCCATTCCCCCCCACCCCCCACTTTTCAAAAAGCATATGGCCGGTCACTGTCCTAGTCAGCTTTCCAAGGCTGAGACAAAAGAGTGAAACAGTGGTCCCTTGGTCTTGGAAGCCTGTGGCAACACTTCACAGTGGGATCATATTTTAGAGCATAGCTGCTCACTGTGCCATTGCCAGGAAACAGAGAAAGAAGGAGGAGCTGGGCCCCACGGCCTCTTCAAGGGCACACCCCTTCCTCACAGTGACCTAACTTCCTTCTCATCAGTACTGTGTCCTCAAGGTTCTACAACCTCCCCCAAGCCCCATGAGTTGAGGGCCATATGAGCTTTTAAGGGACAGAGCAGCCATCATGAGAGATTTTATCCTCACTTCTTTCCTCCTAAAATCATTTCATTCCTTTCTCTTTCAACCAAGGAACTTACAGGTGCAGGACTTCTTTTCCAGCTAAAGATGGTTAAGGGAGATAAGGATGATTGGAAGAACTTAAAACATGTGGTTTTAACCTGGAGTACATAGGTAGCTGTGTGTATGGAAGGCGGAAGAGAGGTCCACAGATCCGCTGGACTTGTGTGGCTTAGGCAGATGTGGAATAGCTGTAGCTTTTGTCTAATTTGAAAGGAAGTCCATGACCCCAAGCATACTTGAAATTATAGATGCTTCTGGGGAGAGACTATTCGGATGTATAACAGTGGAGACTGACCCAGATCCCCCAATCTGTCAGGCCTTGCTGGCTTTAAGTGAGGGCTCTGTGCCTGCTCACATCAGCCCATTCAAGTTTTACCCTCTCTGCCACTCAGAGGCGATAAAAATTCATCAGACTTACAGAATGGTTGAACTCAGATGGTGATAAAATCCCAGTATAATTCTCTCCAAAGAATGTTCTGATTAATAGAAACTGCAGAGGAACTAATTTTATGAAAATAGCAAATGGGATTGTTTCAGTCGAAGCGAGCTGAGAGAGTTGGTGCTGACGCCAAGCAGGAAGATACAAACAGCCCCATTGTGTGGCGCTGACAGCTCCAATCCTGCCGCTTATTTATTAAATGTCTTTCCGCTGTAAATTATTAAGCTTGGATTTGGGGAGATGTGGGAGCTGACAGAATAAGACAATAGAACAGAAAGCAGACCTGGATCCCTTCCTTCAGTCTTCTTGCAAGCATTGTGTTCTGTGAAAAGCCTTGCCCCCCTCCTCGCCCACCCACCAGGGTTGGAGAGGGAGGATGATTCTCTCTTCCGAGAGCTCAGACACGGGTGAGACAAGCAACTTGCTTTTGATTTAGGAATTATTTCTAGTCCTTACAAATCGGAACGGTTTTCAGAGAAAATTCAACCTGTTGGCTTAACAACTGTGTGGCAGATATTTTGTCTCTTCTCTAAAGTGTTGTTCTTACCCAGACAAAGAAGAGCTTGGCCAGCCTTAACAAAAGGAAACACCACACTAAATATTTTAGGACACAGAGCAGCCGTATATAGTTCACGTGCCTTAGCTGGTAGTTGGGAAGGCCTTTTTCATATTAGGAGGGAGCGCCAAGGTTTATTTTTTAAAGCCAAAGAGTAGGACAAGGAAAGGAAGTTGAATTCTGACTGTGTTTGTCTCCATTTGAGAAGCTGGCATTCTGATGAAGAGGGGAGTACTGAATTTACATGAATCTTAGGTGCAGCTTTTACTCTCTGCCTTCTGGACCACACAATGGAGGGGTGTGGCTAAGTTTCTTGGCCAGATACCACCTACTGACCCCTCCAGGGCTAGCAATAGAACGGGCATCAGTTGGCTGCCTGAGCACGATCACTTATGGCATTCACTTATTGCTACTGTGTACTTTGTGCTGCTTTGGAAAGTGAGATTAATGAATGGACAAAATCACAAAACTCTCATTTTAATAGGCAGAGCCAGGTAATCAACAAATACACCCACAACTGATGTCTTTAAGTGACCTGAAGATACAAAGTAGAGGGAAGAGACAACGAGTGATGAAGGCTCTTGGTGGATGGCCATCAAGGAAGATTCCTCTGAGGAAGTAGTAACGTGAAGAAAGTGAGCAGATAAGCTACCAGGGGAAGACCTCAGGGCTAAACAAGCATCAGAGTCCTGTAGAGCGGAGGGTGATGGGGGCTCCTCTTTGCTGGACTTCACCAGGAAGCATAAAAATTTTTCTGAATGGTACGGGAGACTGGAGCAGTTTTGAGGAGGCAGATAACATGATCTGACTGTCCCATGCAACATCCAGAATGTCTTGTGGTTACTACAGCCCCTGCTAGGAAGGACTCTTCCCAGACCACCAAGCCCCTCACCAGGTTTTAATGACTCCTCCTGTCCTGAGTGAGAAGGCTCAATCTTACATCTCACCCATGGGGCAGGCAGAGTTTCTTTGTAGGATTATGATTAAATGGAGGTTGATATCTCTTTGCTCTAAAAATTAGCAAGAGATCATAAAACCATCTGGTGGGCCTAGAGAGATGATCCAACTCTTGCTGCTCGTCTGGAAATCCTGAGTTCTGTTCTCAGCACACATATTGGCTGGCTGGGGAGGCTCATGGATGCCTGGGACTCTGTCTGACCCTAGACCATTGGCTCTTTCTTCTGGCCACCACTGGCATGCACACAGAGATGCAGGGCCATATACATAGATGCAAATTTTAAAAAGTACTTTTTAAAATAAAACAGACAGCAAGCAAAAGAATATGAATCTATGAGCCCCGGCCCTCCCCATAGCTGTTTTTGCAGTCTAGGCATCTTGTCTGGGCAACAGATATTACCTGGCTGGCCAGAGGAGGAGTCCATGAGTTCTGCTATTCTCAACTTCTGCGAATCATGTGTGGAGAGACACAGCACCAAGCCCCCGCTGGGAGGACATGCAGAAAACCCAGTCCGAGCCTGCAGAGGAACATTTGGTGGGTCGGGGGAAGAAAATTCAAAATGCCTTATGGGAAAGAGTAGGAGTATTGGAAGAACCAGGGAATTTCCAAGTCCCCAGATGTCTTGACAAGGTTATGGCCCATGACAGGTCTGGGATCCACCGTTCCCCCACAAACTTGAGAAGCAGCTGAAAATGATCGGGTCCAGCTGGTGTCCGTCACATCAGCCATCACAGGCTGTCTGTTCTATCAGGGCCTTTTAGAATGATTCAGGCTGAATCTCGAGGGATGGCTCCATCTTTTTTGAGGTCTTTAAAATACAGAGTGAGATTTTCCTGTGGCTTGCAGCAGTCAAATGGATAAACTTCACAGATTGGCCACGTCCAGGATGGAAAGGACAAATACTTAGATTGCAGA